TCTGTGGTTACTCCCCTATGAGTAAGCATGTAGCCAGTCTCTAGGCCAATTAAGAGGGTTTGAGCATTTCAGGACCTGATAAGACCCTTGCCCCAGTCAGTTGGCATTCTGGGCAGCTGGATGCCCTTACGGGGAGTTAAGGGTCACCACCATCAATTATGATGACCTTTGTGATAACAGCTCACAGCCCAAATTAAAGATCCTGAAACGTGCCTCGTTAGCTTTCTCACCTCTGTGCCTCCTTTTACAATGTTTCCTCTTCCTGGAAGGTAGTTGTGTCACTAACTTTCCATTATCCTAGAGGAAGTGAAGTTTCATCACATCCAAAAGCTTTCCCTGAACATCGTCTTCCATTTTTACCCAGATGAGTTGGGTGCCCTTCCTCTCTATTAAAATACCACCTGGCACAAACCTTTTGCACAAAGTATTGAATTGCTCTGCAGTCACTGACTTACTTGATAGCAGGACATATGAGCCTAAACTGAGATGCATCTGTACATGAATAGGCATTTATTTGCACAAGGTAATGTGCACAGAGGGAAAGGGACTGTGAGGGGGAGGTTTTGAGCATCTAAGCCTGGTGGCCAACATGGAAGTAAGGTGGGGAAACCAAGAGAGCAACTTAATGGCTGGCCTTCAGTCCGGGTCCTGGTTCCTAAGCCTGGCCCCAAGGACTAAATCCAAGTTATGGATAAAGAAGGGCAACAGACAAAAGCTTTGGGAACTGAAATATTTGGAAAAAAGGGGGTGCATGCAAAGCTATTTAGGGGCCAAACAACAAACTATAACACATGGTCGGGAAAGTGAGCCCTCTTCCCACTTACGCACTCATTACCCAGCCTTGCTCAGATTTGAAAAGGCCACCGGTACCTCTGAGACAATGCAGTGAATTCTGGAGTGGGCAAGGAAGCCCATGCCCAGCAGATGCTGCTCGGTTATGTCTAGAGGGAAAGGATTTAGGAATGGACACTTGGGAAAATGACGAGTCAGTAATAAAATTATTTTGTTTCTGTCTGTTTAAATCTTAGGGACTCCCAGAACTAGTTTAAGAGTGGCTTTTGCAAGGGGCTGGAGGGTCTTATACTACACAAGGGAGAAATGACCAGCAGCTAAGTATAAATTACCACTGTTAATGTGACTCTACTTAGAGCCATGGTCTGGAGGCCTGGTGAAATCTAGTTATGGTTATATTATATTCTCAACCTACTCCGACCTCTCTTCACTGGTCTTGAGATCCTTGAAGGCAGAAACTGCTGGTTTTTAAAAAATCTCTGTAGCCCCATTACCTATCTATTTCCCAGCACGGAGTAGGTATTCAACATACAGCTATTGAATGAAGGAATAAAATTAATGAAAGAGCAACTATCTCGAATGGACAAATTCAGGAAAAATAGGTGGAAGTTATAGGAACGTAAAATGCTCTTCTAACAATTAGAAAACATTATCAGTAGAAAAATCCCATGGTGACACAGTGAGAATTTTTTTTTTTTTTTAGAATTTTAAGTTTTTGGAATTTTATTTTTTTTCTTCCTTTTTTAAAATTTTATTATGTTACGTTAATCACCATACATTACATCATTAGTTTTTGATGTAGTGTTCCATGATTCATTGTTTGTGAATAACACCCAGTGCTCCATTCAATACGTGCCTTCTTTAATACCCATCACCAGGTTAACCCATCCCCCCCCCCCCCTCCCTTCCAGAACCCTCAGTTTGTTTCTCAGAGTCCATAGTCTCTCATGGTTCGTCTCCCTCTCCGATTTCCCCCCCTTCATTTTTCCCTTCCTACTATCTTCTTTTTTTTTTAACATATAATGTATTATTTGTTTCAGAGGTACAGGTCTGTGATTCAACAGTCTTACATAGTTCACAGCGCTCACCAAAGCACATACCCTCCCTCATGTCTATCACCCAGCCACCCCATCCCTCCCACCCCCCACCACTCCAGCAACACTCAGTTTGTTTCCTGAGATAAAGAATTCCTCATATCCGTGAGGTCATATGATACATGTCTTTCTCTGATTGACTTATTTCGCTCAGTATAACACTCTCCAGTTCCATCCACGTCGTTGAAAATGGCAAGATCTCATTCCTTTTGATGGCTGCATAATATTCCATTGTATATATATACCACATCTTCTTTATCCATTCATCTGTCAATGGACATCTTGACTCTTTCCATAGTTTGGCTATTGTGGACATTGCTGCTATAAACATCGGGGTGCACGTATCCCTTCAGATCCCTACATTTGTATCTTTGGTATAAATACCTAGTAGTGCATTTTATCACTGGAGGAGTTGTCAAGGATGCCCCAGAGGAGGTACATACCTCAGGGGGAGAAATCCATCAGATCATTTCTAACTCTCAAACTGCTTGGTATTAATTACACGAAGACCAAGAAGAGCGTGGCCATGACAAAGGAGTTAGCCCCACAGGGCAATATGCAAAAATGATGAGTCAGCAACAAAACCAGTTTTTTAAAAAAAATCTTCAAGGACTGTCTATAAAAATCAGCAAGCCTTAAGCCAGATTTCATCAGAATTAAAACCATACCCTGAAACATTATTGCATGAAGCCATAGACATTTTATCTTCAAAAGCTATCCTATTCTAACTTTGAACGATGTCCAGAGGACTAAGGTATCTAATGGACGTTATCTACAGTGAAGATGTTAAGTGATGAAAGGTTAAAGGAAAGATTTACAACGTGTTGAGAGCAGGCTGTGATTTGCAGACTCATAGCCTGTTTCAATGACTCTTCCACAGCCTCTGGCGAAGTAAATGTTAGAGCCACAAGTCTTTATTCCTTTAACTTCCAATAAATGACCGAAGGATCCCCCTGTCTACAAGAGAGAAATTGCTAGACAATGCAGGAAAGGTCTTCTGAGACAAATGAATATTCTACATTAATTTAAAGGCCACAAATAGAATGATGGAGAGTACTATTTCATAATGTCAAAGTTCAAAGGCACTTTTCAAATGTCTCTTTAAAGAAAATCTGACCTTTCTTTCTTTCCTTCTTTCTCTCTTTGTTATCAGAAAGTTTGCCAAGGACACTCTGGGCCTTGGGTCATTCTGTTTTGACATGGAAGTTCTTTCATCATTAAAAATAATTGAAAGACCAGAAATATTTAACTCTGCAGTGACCAAGAGGACACATTCAGTAGCATAAAAAAGAACAATATTGAAGTACTTGGATTTCAAAGGTTACGTTTTAATGACTCCATAAACCTTGCCCCCCTCATGTATGAGGGATAGCTTACATGAGGCCATGACTAGCTCAAGGAGTAAGTATGAATACACATTTTTTTCCAATATATTTCATGTTATTTTACATGAAAACTGCTCAGTACACCACTAGTAACTCTCTATGTCTAAATATCTTTTTTAGGTATAGATTGGCTGACATTAGATATAGATGTGGACAAAAATATATTTGCAGAAAAACAAAAACCTCTTATGAAAGGCCTCTTTTTCCCCATCTTAAGGTAAAATTTACAGACAGTAAAATTTAGCCTTTTTAGTGTACAGTTCTGCAAATTTTGATAAATGCAGTCATACAACCCCCACCACAGCAAGATACAGAAAAATTCCATCACATCCCCAAATTCCCCTGTGCCCCTTTGTAGTAAACCCCTCTCTCCATCTCCAGCTCCTGGAAACTACTGATCTGCTTTCTATTTCTATAAATTTGCCTTTTCAAATATGTCCTATAAATGGAATTATATGGTATGTAGCAAAGGCCTCTTTTAAATTTCATGCACTGGATAAAAATTAAAGTAACTAAATGAAGTGTCAGTGTTAATGTACTGATTTCTATTTCCTGACCTTAAGGCAATGATGGATATATAAAATCAAATTACCCTTGAATATCACATCTTGAAGCAGGTAGTATACCCAGGGAGCCTTTTGAATATAGAGATCTTTAGGACTTCAATTTCGACATATTGAATCAAAATCTCTCAGTGAACTTTCTGGGAATTGTTTTTATCAAGTTCTCCAAGCTTGACTCTGATTGATCAGCCAGATTTGGGAAACATTAACCCAACAGATATTCACTGTATAGATTAATTACCAGGCTGTAAATCATGTGTGGGAATAGGATCAAAGTTCAGAGGCTGTTGGAGAGTTTCATTAGGTGACCTTGTCCTTGGATGTGGCTACCACTTACTACCTGCAGGAACTTTAGCTGAACCTTAGTTTTCTCCTCTGTCATGCTGGGGTAACGATGCTGACTTCATAGGATTAATTTGGGGATTAAAGGCCTATAAAGCCTTTAGCTAGAATGTGGCACACTTGGCACTCAGTGATTGGAAGCTGCTTATCTTGCTGGCATTAGTATCAATATTAACATCATTATCATCATCACGGCGCCAGAAACACTTTACTTGTCTTTCTCCATATTTCTGCATTGTTGTCAGTTTCACTATTTCTTAGTCCTTCCTCTAGAAGGGACCAAAGTAAACAGAATCCACTTTTGTAGCCGCCCAACTGGTATTCAGGGCAGCGCAAAGCTAACAGAAATTCACTGATTGTCCCCAACCCTCACCTTTACCTCAAAGATGTCAATGGGAACAAAAAAAAAAAAAAAAGGGAATTACTGGAAACTCTCCCTCTTTCCCAAGGGTATATTATTGGCCAAATATAAGCAAACAAAAGGGAGGAAGAGAAGCAAAGCGACAGAATAAAGCAGAAAATTAGGTTGTCTGTGTAGTTAGGGAATATCTAAAAATTGACTTCATTCATTTGCAGTTTTATTCTGCAATGTAGACACATGTATTTTTAAGCTATAGTTTCTTGAAAATTTTTACTATTGAAGTACAGTTGACATAGAAAGGCAGCAGTTTTTATTTAAGCTGTGAAATACAGAAGAGTGATGGTATTTGGCTGCACTTGCTGATCTAAAGAAAGAACTCCTATCCTCAGAATTAAACGATGCTGCCAACACCAAGGACTGAAGGCAAGGAGCAAAAGACAAACCTGAAACTCACAAGCCCTACCTGTTCTCAGCATCGGCACTGCACTTTGGGGACATCAATTCAAAGGATTTGGTGAACTTCACCACCTGTCACACACAGAAAGACATAAATTCAAGTCAATTAAAGCTTTTTTGCAGTTTAAAATAATGCAATAAACATCTTTCATCTTTATAATGATAATTACAATAATTGGAGATTAAGGAGGAATTTTAAGTGGAGAAGTCTCAAGGGGCCGAAAAAGAAAATTCTATCCTACTTTTTGGATTTTACTTCTAACATGGCATACATTGCCAAAGTTTTGATACATTTTACTAAATATGCATATTTTTTTTTTAAATTTTTATTTAAATCCCAGTTAGTTAACATACAGGGTAGTATTAGTTTCAGGTATAGAATTTAGGGATTCAACACTTCCATACAACACCCGGTGCGCATCGTAACAAAGGTCCTCCTTCATCCCTATCACCCATTTAGCCCATCCCCCCCACCCACCTCCCCTCTGCTAACCCTCAGTTTGTTCTCTATAGCTGGGAGTCTGTTTCTTGGCTTTCCTCTCTTTTTTTCCCCGCTCATATAAGAAACAAAACAAATGAACACTGGCGGAAAATTAAGTGTGTTATATTTTTACAATGAGGTGTTTACTATCTGTGGTAGTTCTACCAAGGAACATCACACTTGGAAACATTTTAAAATTTTTATTGCCCTTTTAACAATCTGATCAATATGCATGGAGAAGAAGGTAGAGACAAAAACCTAGAAAAGGATGTCCTCCTTCAACCCCAGGCTCCTGAAGTCACCTTCCTCGGTTTATCATTGTTCTCAGGTGAATATTTTTTGCCACCAACCCCAGCCTCCTGCTCCAAGGGTAAAGAAGAGAAAGCCATCTTCTTCAAGGATCATCCCTAGTGTAGACACTTCTTCTCTCACCTGTCTCATGAAACCGGCATATTTGGTGCAAGAACCTGATCAAGACTTATTACACTGAAATAAAATTTTGGACACAGGAAATGTAAAGGTAGTTTTCCTTATTATTAGCAACTATTGAGTTCTTACTATAAACCAGGCTCTACATCAGAAGCTTCTTGGACTATTTAAGTTCCTTAGTACAACTCTATAAAGCAGGGATTTTTATCTTCAGTGTATAGATGAGGAAACTAACCCATAAATTTTAAGAAACTTGCTCAGTTTCACAGAACTAAATGGGGGCACCTGGGGTTAAAGCAAGCCTGCATGATTCTAGAGTGCCTGTTCTTTCAACAACACTAAAAATGTGGAGTGGGAAAAGTACCATTTCTCGTCCTCTTCTGACAAGCTATACCACATGATAGAAAAATGAGGCCCTTATATTGAAAGGAGTCATCTGAATGTCACTGGATGCTTCCAAGGTTGACATTTAGATTTGCCGTAGCTGGATGCAGTCATGCTTCAAAGGCCTTTTAAATTAACCACTTATGAGGAATGGATGGGCACCTGAGAAAATGATTTGGAAACGGAATAGATTAAATATTAAAACAGCTTTATCAGTGAGGTAATGAACCCAAACTAAGAAAATGCAACATTAGGAAAAAGATAAAAGAAAAGAAAAGCTCATCACAAAGAAAATTGTGTGTGACTAGTTGACTGCAGGGCAGTGACACAGACCAACTGCAAGGAAATGCCCTTGACAACTAGAGCACACATTTCATTTCATATTCCAGTGTGAACTGAGCCTCTACAAAGTCCTTCATTGTGGCCAATTTTATGTTCTAAAGATGGTCACAACACTATCTCCTATCCTACACTCTTCACTACAATACGACCCTGCCACCCTCCTACCAAGTGGTAGGGTCTATGTTCCCTCCCCTTGAATCTAAGTGGGCTACTGACCACTTTGACCAATAGAGTATATAGAACGGATATGATGTGCCTTCGGAGATCGTCATAAAAGGCGATGTTCCTTCTGTGTTGTCTGATGGAATACTTGTGCCTGGAGCCCTGAGATACCATGTAAGAGGTCCAGCTACCTTAAGGCCATTCTGCTGAAAGGGAGCCCAACCACATAGAGATGCCACGTGTAGCTATTCTGGTCAGAAGCTCCAGGCTTTAAGTCCTTCCAGTCTAGGAGTCAGACATATGAGTGATGATCTTCAGATGATTCCAGTTCCCAGCCCTTAAGTCACCTCTGGTTTCTATGTTTTTCCAACTGTATGTAGCCCCAGATATCCTGAGAAGAGGCAGACCATCCTTGTGGTACCCTCTCCAAATTCCTGATCCATAGGATCTGTGAGCATAACATGATTGATTTAAGCCTCCAAGTTTGGGGTTTATTTGTTACACAGCAAAACTAACCAGAACACTTGTCTTAATTGAGGACTTAAACAGAAATCAATCACTTAGAAATCTTTATCCACTTGCAGTATTCTTGGATCTCACAAGGCTAGCAAGCCACAGAGAAACTATTTGCTATCACCAAATAATAAATCTCTCAAACTATACTCCAAATAATTTTTAAAGTTAAAATAATAATAAGGTAAAAAGTAGTAGCATTTCATTTGTTTGCATGATAGAAAATTGTCACAGATTTTAAGAGGGAGTTAGTCCTCTATCTCTGCTTTGATCGTCCATGATTTGTGATTTCTTTCCATTATTTTGTTAGATGACAGAAAATTCTTTCCCTATTTTATCATGTTTATGCTGTTGCTATGGACTGTATATTTGTGTTCCCCAAAATTCATATACTGAAACCCTAATCTTCAACATGATGGTATATGGAGATGGGAGGTGATGAGGTCATGAGTGTGAAGCCTCATAATGGCTTAGTGCTTTTATAAGAAGAGGCAGAGAGAGCTTGCTTCCTCTCCTTTTCTCTGCTATGTGAGGATACAACGAGAAGATTGGCCATCTACAAACCAGGAAAAGTGCCCTCACCAGACACTGGCTCTGCTAGTGCCTTGATCTTGGACTTCCCAGTCTTTAGCACTGTGAGAAATAGCTTGTTTGTTCTGTAAGCCATCCATTCTATAATAATTTGTTATAGCATCTTGAACTGACTGAGACAACTATATTCTCCCTTTTTGCTGCAAATGTGTATGAGGCATTTTACATACATTATGACCAATCCTTTATGTAGATATCAATGCTTACAACATTCTGGCAAGGTAGATAATATCATCCCCACTTTATTGAAAGGAAATTAAGGCACAGAGGGGTTAAGTGTTTCCTGGAAACCATACAACCTTCCTGGAAACCATACAACCAATACACTGCAGAATTGGGATTTGCACCATTCAATCTGATTCTACAGCCCCCAGTTTCCCCACTACTCCTTGCTTTTGTAAACATGAGCAAAACTGTGACACCAAATTATTTGGACATGACTCCTTCAAAGTCAGAATAGTTAGATAAACTCTGCCTTTATTTATCAATTCTATAAATATTTTTCAAGAACCCATTAATGCCTGAATTTGAATAAACACAGACTAAAAGTAGCTTGAAGCAGAATACTTGGCTTAATATAAAATTAATCAAATTACCAATACAGTATTAATTATTTCTGCATTTGGAAATAAAAAAGGAGATACTTTTTTTTTTTTTTAAGGTTTTACTTATTTGAGAGAGAGAGAAAGAGAGACAGAGATCATGAGCAGAGGGGAAGGGTAGAGGGAAAAACAGACTTCTCACTGAGCAGGGAGCCACATGCGGGGCTCGATCCCAGGATCCTGGGATCATGACCTGAGCCAAAGGCAGACGCTCAATGGACTGAGCAACCCAGGCACCCCACCTTCTTTTTTTTTTTTTTTTTTAAGAGCGAGAGGAAGAGTGCAAGTGGGGCAGGGCAGAGGGAGAGGGAGAGAGAGAATATTAAGCAGGGTATGCACCCAGCTCACAAAGCCCGATGTAGAGCTAGACCTCACGACCCTGAGATCACAACCTGAACCCAAATCAAGAGTCAGATGTTTAACCCACTGAGCCACCCAGGCACCCATCAAAAAGGAGATACCTTTAAATTCCCTGACTGGACAGATGAGATTAAACTCCTCAATATTACTAAGGAATACTTCATTTGGCTTCCTTTTTACTATTAATTAGAATACTTTACAACTCTAAAAGGATAGATAATAATTCCTGAAAAACTGATAGCAATACAAATTAGGGTTGTAAATGAGGGAGTAAGCCCCCTTGTGGGGTCATTAAGGATCACTCTGACAAAGTCCCAGAAATTATACTTGGAAAGGCATGTGAAATTAAAGAATTCATCACAAATCATAGAGAGGGGAGCATGGTATGCTCAGAGGATCATATAAAGTCACCCAAAGCCCAGAGTTTGGTCACTGCAGGCAGGGAAAGGGCAGAGCAAGGACCCATGGGTAAGTACCTTTATTGGGGTCAGGGGTAAGGTAGCTTGTGGCACTTGGGAAACCTGCTCTTTGGGTAATTTGAATGTAACTGGGTCAACATGGAGAGGAAGGAAGGGGCAAAATGGGAAAGTCATCCTGAGGCTTACTGCTTAAACACACACGTTGGGGATGGGTACCCAGAAATGGGCAATAACTAGGTAAAAGTTCAAAACAAGCAGGCTGAGTGCAGGCACTCAGTGAGTCATTGAAGCCACAAAGAACAGCTTGACAATGCACAAATGAATTTTATCCAAGGAAAAATGCAAATGATTTCTGAGCAGTAGTAAAGTAAGCCCATAGTGACAATTTTATTGTTCTGGATGATAGTAACCATTATGGAAATCTAACCTAGCAATCTTACCCTAGCATTCTTTCAGTAGCTATTTTATTTTATTTTATTTTATTTTACTTTAAGATTTTATTTATTTATTTGACAGAGAGAGAGAGACTGTGAGAGCACAAGCAGGGGGAGCTGCAGGCAGAGGGAGAGGGAGAAGCAGGCTTCCCACTGAGCAGGGAGCCCGATGCAGGGCTCGATCCCAGGACCCTGGGATCATGACCTGAGCTGAAGGCAGACGCCTAACGACTGAGTCACCCAGGCGCCCCTTGGTACCTATTTTAAAACTGATTTTACTACCTCATTTGGTTTATCTCTTTAATGAGTTCAATAAATCTTTGGTACATGCTTGCTTTAGATTTATGCAAGGGCT